AATAGAATTCGGATATTTGGGGGATTTCTTTTGTTTTTATTTTTCTCTGAGAATTTTGCTTTCTGAGAACTCTGACTAAAATAAAAACAAAAACAGAATATTCCTTTGTTAGGTCGAAGAAGAATTCCGACTTCTTTCCTAGAATTCCGACCTTAATCCTAGATTTCCAACTTCTCAGAATTCCCACTTTTTTTCTCAGAACTCAAAAAATAAAAAGTCAGTTTTTTTGGTCGGATCCCAAAATGCTCTTCACGTGTCGGGCCCTCGCCCTCGTCCATAAAGTAAACACCTTTTTGTCGTCATCTTTTACAACCCTGTCTTTGACTCTGAATAACGTGGCTTTCGGTTCGGATGGTTTTAAACGCCGGCTGGAGTTACACCAAAACATTTTGTCACAAATCTATCTGTGGTTTAATTTTGTACTAATTCTTGTTTATTTTGTGTTCCAGGGCTACGGCTCCAGAGGGTTCCCGGCCCCCCCTCCCTCCAGGAGATACGACTGGAACAACTGAGCTCAAACTCCAGTCTTTTGGGACTTTGCGTCTATTTTTTAGGGGAGAAATGTCAGAATTGTCTTAATTGTACAATTTAATTTGTTGTTGTGTTTTTTTCTTCTTTTTATCCACAAAAAAAAAAACAGTAATATGTGATTTTTTTAGACCTTGTGAAAATACAAGTGTGTCCCGGACTGAGTCCCGCTGTGTTTATTCTTTAGGCAGATCTCTCCCGGAGGTTCCTGTGTTTAAAACGTAAGATAAGCATGTGAAATAAAAGAATAACACTCATGTGGGGTATATGTGTCCAGCAGGAATGATCTCACCCTTAAAGGGCCTGGTTTCCCCTTAAAATCACCCTTAATGTTAACTTTTGACAGAAATACAGACTTTAAATCCTCGATGATCAAGATTCTTTCATTTTATTGTATTATCTTTTATTATCTTGTATTATTATTAAGTTATGTCCAGCAGGAATGATCTCACCCATAAAGTGCATTGTTTCCCCTTAAAATCCCCCTTAATGTTAACTTTTGACAGAAAATACCAACTTTAAATCTTGTTTTTTTTTATTGATTATAATATATTTTATTATTAAGTGATATTTGTCAGACAGGAATTATTATTATCTATAAAGGACTTTTTCTTGAATTCAACCTTAACATTTTATTCAATTCAGCACTTAAATTTTAACTTAAGGCAATACCGACTTTAAATTCTCAATAATATAATAAAAGGAAAAGGTTGATTTTATATTACTTTTTATTATTAAGTGATATTTGTCCAACAGGAATTATCTTAACATAAAATACTTAGTCTTTAAACCACCCTTATCATTTTATTCAATCAACACTTAAATTCACCCTTAAACACTTCAATTACTACTAAAGGCTTTAATCTTTTGTTTTGTATTAAAACTCAAGATGCATTTTTAAATGATCTTATAATGTTTACTTTGTCTGACAGGAATTATCTCGACTTTTTTCCACTTAAAACCACCCTTAAATGTTACCTTAATTTGACATGAATACAGACTTTAATTTGTAATAAAACTCACTATTTACTTTAAAAATGATATCAGGTTTTATTTGTCTTTCAGGAATCATCTGACCCATTAAGGTTGTTTTTTTTTTACTTCAAATTCACCCTTAAATTTCACTTTACACTTTAACATATTTGAAAAAAGGTGATTTTTGAGATTTAAATGCAGAAAATTCAAAGATTTCTTCAGTTAAAGAAAAAACATTTAAATCCAAAATCAGTCTTTTTGCAAAGAAGCTGTTATTAATAATTATGAGGATATTAATAACATTTAAAGATTCAAACTTTGAAAGTGATGCTTCAGTGTCAACAACAACAACAAAACGTTAAAATATCCAAAATGCAAATATCATTTATTCAAAACAAAAATGTGACAAAGAAAAATGAATGATTTACTTGAAATGAAAATATGTGGGATAATGTTTTCAAACCGGCTTCTATTGCTTCACCGTTTATATATAAACCTGCAATAATTTAATTTGCGTAATTGGATGAAAAGGGAAAGTGGCTCATCCCCCTTTAAACGCTGCAGCATTCACATTTTGTCAGTTACAAAAAAAAAATATTTTAAAGAGGAAGATTATTAACATTCAGTCCAAGCCTGTCATTTACAGTTCATTTTTAGCCCGGTATTGCTCTTTAGTGTCCCTGTGTGCGTAAAGGAACCAGACTTTTACGCATGGAAATAAAGACAAAAACCGTCTGGTGATTTTCCTCCAAATAAGAAATCCAACCCGGGATTGATGCCTCTGAGAACGGGTTTGTAATGTCGGTCTTCCTCCCGGTGTCCATACCAAGTCGTCCCGTGCAGTACATTGGATCCCAACGTGGTGTTTGTGTACTCAGAGCGCAGAGGAAACAAACTTTTACGCACGGAAATGATGAGGGAAAAAACTAGTCTTGTGCGTATTTGTTCTCCAAAAAAGAAATCCAACCCGGGATTTAAGCCTCTCGGGATGGATAAAAGTCTCTTTCCTCCCGGTATCCCCACCAAGTCCTCCCGTACAGTAAATTGGACCCCATAATGCCGTTTGTGTACTCTGTGCGTAAAGGAACCAGACTTTTATGGTGAGTAAAAAGACGAGAAAAACTGTCTGGTGGTTTTTTCTTTCTCCTCCCAAAAAAGAAAATCCAACCCGGGATTTATGCCTCTCAGAACGGGTAAATGTCTCTCTTCCTCCCGGTGTCCCTACCAAGTCCTCCCGTACAGTAAATTGGACCCCATCATGCTGTTCGTGTACTCGATCAGAGCCGCGTCCGTCTGCGTCATATTGATCTGTCCATGAAGGCCGAGCGGCGGACTTTGGGACAAATCCTCCAGCACCTCTGCGGAGGAAAGCGGGTTTCCGGATCCGATCACCACCTCCACCTGTCTGTTTCCGGTGTGGCTGGACTCATCCTGGCAGCTTTTACCGGTCTTGGAGATCAACGGGGACACGGAGGAGGAACGGTGCGTCGTTGCGCAAAGACCTCCAGCGGTGTTTCCTCCTCCTTCCTGCTGCGGCACTTTGTCCTTGTTCTGCCGCTTCAGTTTGTACCGGTGGTTCTGGAACCATATCTTCACCTGGTTGGGGCTCAGGTGGATGAGCCCGGCCAGGTGTTCCCTCTCCGGCGCGGACAGGTACTTCTGCTGCTTGAAGCGCCGCTCCAGCTCGTACACCTGCGCCTGCGAGAAGAGCACGCGCCGCTTCCTCCGCGGATTCGCGTGCATGGTCACCATGGACTTGTTGCAGGGATCCATGCCGGACAAACTGCTCACCATCCCGGACATGTTCATCCCTCCCGAGGGGTTCATGAACCTGGAGACTTAGAGGAGAAACGATCGTTGATTGGATAGAAACATGGGGAAAGAAAGAACTCAAGGAAACATGATTATCTTTAAATGAGTCAAACACTGTTAATGGATTGTTATTCTATTACATTAAAATACATGGGAAAGAAAGAAAGGTATTACTCAAGAAAACATCCGATACTGACATCCTGAAACCAGTCTTATCTAACATAGTGCTTATTATGAATGGATTGTTCTATTAAAATAAATGGGAAAGAAAATGAAGACAACAGCAGCAATCAAATCCTTAAACGATTCATGTAATAGCCTACTAATGAATTGTAAACTGCCCAATCACATCTTAAAATAAGGGGAATACATTTCACTTAAATCAGTAATAATCATAGGCTATTGCATGTATCAAACATAACATAATAAAAGCCTTTTATAAAAACAGGTATGCATATTATGATTAGGAAACTATTCAAGGAATCTCATCCTTAACATTTTTATTATAATAATGATGCATTTTATTTATAGAGCGCGTTCGAGATACTCAGACACTTAATATGCTTTAAAGATTCATTAAAACACACTTAAAATATAAACGACATGATTTACAGATTAAAAGCATAACTCGAGAACACATCATTACTAACATCCTAATTGCCTTGATGAATTAAATGGCTTATTATAAATACCTTTTCAACTAGGCTAATAAAACATTTCAGAATGAAGAGGAGGAGGAAAGGAAGTTTTACTGATGAAAAAAAAAAATACTATTATCCTCAAATGTTGCTTAAAAACCACGGTCCTTATTAATGGATTGTTATATTTGCTTTAATTTGAAAATATTGGATTATAAGAAATAAAGAACAATCATTTTACTCATAAATACATTTTTGGATTAGAAGGTAATTAACTAACTCGACTGTCCGGCAGTGGCTCAGTCAGTAGGGGCTTGGACTGTGAGCTGTAGGGTCGCCGGTTCAAGTCCCCGAACAGACCTACATATGGAGTGTGGACTGCTACTTGGAGAGGTCCCAGTTCACCTCCTGCCCTGCCGTGGTGCCATTGAGCAAGGCACCGGACACCCCCCTTCCCACAATAAGTGTGGCTTGATATTGAGTAAGAAAAAGGTTGATAAACGCTGTGAGAATGGATCTGTGGAGAGCATTTCTCCGCGATCCCAACGTTCAGCGAGCTCTATGCAAGTTTACGGGACCCCCTGATAGTTGAACATCGACGCTAAAGGGCCCCCCACTGCGTTTGATAATGACGCCAAGGGATCGTGACATAACGTCCCTATAGATCGAGTTGGGAGTGAGAATGTGTTGGAAAACATTATGGTCTGGATTCTTCAGGGGTGTCAATTTCATCTCGGGCCACATTAGCATCATGGTTGCACTCAAAGGGCCGGTTTTATATACATACAAAAAATACATATAAATATTTAATATATTTAAAAGAATGTATTATATTACATTATTGCCGTCTGTATTGGATTATTATCGGATAGGGTAATAACTTAATAAGTCTCTTCAGTGAGAATGTCACAAAATGATTTAAAAAGAAAAGTCAAATTCTGGAAAAAAAAGTCAAAATAAAAATAACTGACATTTTGAAAAAAAAGTCAGATTCTGAGAAGAAAAGTCAAATTTGAGATGCATTGTGGGACATGTAGTTTATGGGCCACGTGCTTCTGTAAAGTAGCATGTAACCGTATAGTAAACATATTATAGTCTTTGCTGGCTCTTGTGGGGCCGCATTAAATGAAGTCACGGGCCGGATTTGGCCCCCGGGCCTTGAGTTTGACACCCCTGCTTTAAAGGCTTTTAACACATGTTAGTTTAAATTAGAAAACGAGTGCCTTTAATGAGGAATTAAAGGGGAGAGAAAGGGAATTATATAACCTTTAAAAACGAGTAATAATCACATCGTTGAACATTATCTTAGTTAAATAAATCGTTTGTTATACTTCTGTTAATTAGGAAACAATTACTGATAGAGAACTCAATCAAACATCTTCTTTAAAGCCTTTTAGATGATATGGGTATTGGAGGATGTAATGCTTGTTCTTTTATATATTTAAGGATTAAATAAAGGGTCAAATTAATTATGATAGACTGTTTGCTATGCCCGTCTTAGTTAATGTTGCATTATAACATCGATACGCCTAGACCCTAACCCTACACCTCATTCATAAGTATTTATTTAATATGCATCTACTGTGATCAATAGGAGGATATTCTGTAACCTCGTGCACTTTATTTACTCCTTGCACTTTCTGGTTGGATGCAAAGTGTATTGCGTTGCACTATTTTAATCTAATCTTAATATAACAGAGGAGGGTTATTCATTGTGAGTTTCGAAACAAAGGATGTTAGATTTCAGACAGGTAAGCCATGCATTTAATGGCTTTTTATTAATACGTATTTTTTATTAGGAAACGATGCGATTTTAAATTAAATGAGACATTTTAGTGGAAAAAATCTTTCAATCTTCAAAATAATTTACGGATAATTGAGTGACTTTAATTAAAGTATTATAGGAGCTGTTCATCTGTACACCTTTATGTTAAAAGAGATTAAACATTTAAAGAGGACCAGACACACTGTGGTAACTCCCTGTGATCATTAATAATAAGTTATTAAAACCACAGAGACTTTTGCAATTATTATCTATTTATTAGTATCACTTTTTATTCATCGTCTTATTTCATTTCACTGCTGCTCAGAATATAAGCTTCATACTTTTAAAATCAAAGTTGAACTGCATTGTGAAAGGCCTGTTTGTAGTGTATAATAGTAGAAATACAGATATTATATAAAATATAAAGAACGCTTCAGTTTGGACACGTTTTTGGAACATTACGCCTTTTTCCATCGTGCGTAAAAGCGCATTATTTCCTTTTTAAAACCTCAGATTTAAAATAAAGTTATATTTAAAGCTGCTCTTACTGGTCTGGTTTTGGGGCTCACATGGATTAGCCTCTTAATAAATGGTGAGGCTATTAAAAAAACACCTGTAGATAAAGATCAATATATATATATATATCAATAAATGAATCCTATAATGATTGTGTTAGTACATAATCAATACAATACAACAATACAATAACACGTGCCACCGTTCATTTTCTTCTGTTATGTTGACTTACCCTCCGATCTAAAATAATAATTTTAAGCTGCTCTTACTGGTTTGGTTTGGTGCTCCGGGTTGCTGTACCAGGCCAACCAAAATTACGCATGTTTCCATCG